TTTTATTTTGAACAAATGATTTTCATTAAATCAACCAGTTAATCGTACAGAACGAAACAAGGGAGAAAAAAAAGAAGGGAGGAACTCCTTCCACAAGAAGGATCCCGTCGACCTAATAGCCCACTTAGCTATATTATGAGCTATAACATTGTGCTCACGACTAACGCGACAACATAATCCACAATTCAACGACGACATAAGACCAATACTATCAACAAAAACATTGTGCAAAGGGTTGTTAGTATGATTAAGACCATATGTTAGAGATAAGTTGGAATCAAGATCATCTACTTTGTATCTTTGGGGTATAACTCTCAGTTTAAAGGTTACAAGGTTCTACTTCAGAGTGATAAGATCATTATTTCAAGAAATGTAGTCTTTTATGAGAATTTCTTTCTTAATAAATCCTTTGATAGTCCAAAGAAAATTGAGCAGTATCCCATATAACTTTATGCATGCACCTTTGAACATAATTCCGTCACACACACAAACACCTCAAACTCAACATCATGACAACACACCATCGATCACATCACCCATATTATCATCCACACGCTCAAGAATAGCATCACAATCATCATCACCACCATCATCGCCACACACTGAACTCACCACCACCAATGTTGGAGACCCTAGTCTAGTTGTAGCTTCACCAATCACATGAAATATGGATCAGTATCTTAATCATATGGTCACTACATCAACAAATGGACCTTCAAGCCTAAGGTATATTCAACTTCTCTTAATGAGTTAAAACCTCTAATGCATCAGAAGCTCTCTCGACTCCTAAAATGGAAAGCTGCAATGGACACAGAATACAGTGCCTTACTCAAGAATAACACTGGGTTTTGTTCCTTTGCCACCTAATAGGAAAGTTATAGGTTGTAGATGGTTGTTTAGAGTCAAGCACAATGCAAATGACACTATCTATAGATACAAGGCTAGACTTGTAGCTAAAGGCTACACCCAAGTTGCTGGAATTGATTTTCAAGAGATTTCCAATCCAGTTATCAAACCACTGACAATCAGACTGATGTTTTCAATTGCACTTTCAAAAGGATAGACAACTACACAACTAGATGCATATAATGCTTTCCTAAATGGCGAACTTGACTCATCTACAAAGATTTACATGGAAGAACTGCCAGGTTTTGACACACATAAGGGTCCTGGTTTTGTAAGTAAGTTTAACGAAACAATCTATGGCCTCAAGTCTTCTAAAACCTTGTTCTACAAGCTCAATCATATTTTTCTCAGTCTGGCTTCAAATAATCTTTAGCAAATACTTTTTTGTTCATCAAATTATTTCTTTCCTACATTATTTATATTTTGGTGTATGTAGATGACATAATCATCACAGGAAGTTCAACCATAGTAATAAATGAAGTCATTTGCTCAATGTCTAATGTTTTTTCTCGTAAGGATCTGGGGTGTACTTCATCATTTTTTGGGCATGGAGATTCATTGCACCAAAGAGGAGAAACTCTTGACTCAACAAAACTACACTTCTCAGATACTGAAAAAGGAAAACATGGAAAATTCCAAAAGAATAAATAGTCCCATGATCAGTTCACCACCTTTGTCTAAATTCTCAGGGAACCATTTCTCAAATGCTCTTCTATATAAATAGCTCATTAGGAGCCTTCAATACCTTAGAATTACCAGACCAGACATCACTTATGTTGTTAACAAATTGAATGAGTTCATGTAGCCCCCCTTGGACTCCCACTGGAAAGCAGTTAAAAGACTTCTCATGTATCTTGTTGGGATCTCAGACTATGGTTGGCATCCCGTCAAGTCACCACATCTCTACATCTCAGCCTTTTCTAACACTGACTGGGCTTCAGGCCCAGATGATAGAAAATCTACTTCTGGTCATTGTGTCTTTGTGGGAGAAAACTTGGTGTCTTGGAGCTCTAAAAAGCAACAACACTAAGGTAGAGTATAGGAGCTTTGGCCATGCAGCTTCAGACGTCCTTTGGATAAAAATCCTCCTTCAGGAACTTCACATGTGTAATCTTCCACCTCCAACAATTTGGGTTGACAATCTTAGTGCGGTTTCATGTCTTGCAACTCGGTTATTTAAGGCAGAACCAAACATATTGAAGTTAATCTCCCCTTCATTAGAGAAAAATTCCTCAACAACTATGTTAATTAGTTTGACTAAAAGGGGCCGCCAATTATCTCAATTTTCAACATGTACGAGCTCCCAACTTATTTTGTAATGGACAGAGATATCTACCCAAGTGTGTTAAAATTTCATAATAACATCCTCATCATTTAGAAATAATGACTTATAACAACTTACCCTTAAAAGCCAATACGTTTTCCTTTTCAAAATGGATAATATACTTGCAATTAAATAAATTATGGTATACCAGTTAACATGAGATGCGAGGAAGTAGATGGAAGGCAACAAATGTATAGGGATTTAGGTCTAAAAAGAAAAAAGAAAAAAAAAAAAGTGGTTCCTCAAATCCAAAGTCATTCACGTTTGAGGTTGGTGAGATATTTCTCTAGACAAAAAAGAAAAATATGGAAACAATTAAAAAAAATCCAAAAAGTACACATGATGTCACGTTGCCTAAAATTAGAGGGATCAACTCCCTTTCAAAATAAGTTAGAAAAGTAAATAATTAACTATGTAAACATAAAAAACTTGACCCAAATAATACAATCCAAATTATATTCTCATAAAGTGAAACATAAGAGTATGGGAGTGGTCACGTGGCACGCAAGGAAGTCTCGCCACTCCCCTTTATCAAGATGTAGAGGGATGTAACTTAAGAGTCGAGAGTAGGGTGCAAACGAATCGAGCGGCTCAGCGATCGAGTCAAAGCTCGACTCGAGCTCGAGTTTGACTGAACTCGAGTCGAGTTCGAGCCCATATTTTTGCATTGTCGAGCGGCTCAAGATATATGTTGAACTACTAAAATAATCTTTTTATATATTATAATAGGTAGTTTTATTTTTTCACTTAAAAATTTTCGAGCCGAACTCGAGCATTTTGGTTTCGAGTCGAGCTCGAGCCTCAAAAATCAAGCTCGACGAGCTTGAGCTCGAGCATAAAAAAATCAATCATTTTCGATAAAGTCAATGTTCGACTCAGCTCGGCTCGTTTGCAGCCCTAGTCGAGAGTTGATGTGATTTCTATTAATTCAAATCAAGCAGAATTTCGTGTAATTTGGCCACAACTCAAGGACCTGCATTACAATTATCCCAGTATTTATTGAAAGAGTATAATATAAAATAATAGTGATGTGATTCAACCGATTTTGCTATAAAGCCAACAGTTGACTCCATAGTGGAGCCAACCTTTTATATAGAACAAGTAAACCTAACATATTAATAAAATTATA